AGAGAGAGAGAGAGAGAGAGAGAGAGAGAGAGAGAGAGAGAGAGAGAGAGAGAGAGAATGAACTTCGATTTTCGACTGTGCTCAAGTTAACATCAACATTTCATTGATATAAGTTGATATTTATTGATTATGGAATATTTCTTTTGCATAAATCATAATTCATATCGACAAGTCAAGCGAAATGTAAATTGCTATTGTCTAACTAAACGTAAACGCGCGGTTACCGTCGCGTCATTAAGAAGATTGAGCTTATCTGAGTCTTATAATCTGGACATTGTCTTGTATATACATACATAATGAGCTATTTCTGAATTCGCCCGTCGTTAGTCCCAGTAGAAGAAGCAAGAAGATAATAATACAAAGCTTAACTTTGTTGAGCGCTAAATGCCGATTTAATTCGAGATTCGTCATTCAATCATTGTGCCTCAGTATTCGATTCCCATTAGCGTTTTTTCCTTAACAATAAATGGATAATGAATTATACTATAATTACTCGATTATGTATAACGTACAGTAAACACGGGGACACGGACGCCGTTTTTAATGGATACTCTGCGTGCGTACTACTAAATCGTGTGACTCATAAGTTATCTTTGCACGTTCTTGTTCTGTCATATTGCGTATTAAATCGATGACCCAGTTCGAAATAGAACCGACTAAAAGTCTCTCATTCCGAGAGAAATAGTTCATCAAACATTTAAATTTCTCCTCGATACGGAGGAGGCTCCGAGTAACTCGCGTCACGTCCTGGTTCCCCCTTTCCTTTTTACACAATCAATTCACACCTTCCTGAGCGATCGTTTCGTCTGAGTATTGTTTACAGACGGCGTTTATGCGCATAACGATATACTGCGCATATCAGATCCGATATACGACATATAGTATAGATATGTGCAATACTGGCGGAACGCCAAAGGTCATCCTTGAGCATTCACTTTTCCACGCGACGCGATTACCATTCATAGATATAGAGTACCCCGCGCAATTAATTTCTCGTTGCTTTTTCACCCCGTCGAACTTCTCGTATCCGGAATGATTAATTTGAAGTCTATCTTGTTTCATTGCGCGGCATGATAATCGTGAAATAATTATTCGATTATTGTCTTAACAAGACGTACTTTGTTCTACTTCGCAGGAGGGCGAGCTTCTTGAGAAGAATACAGACTGGATTTACGAATGGAGCTCTCGACCGGACCAGGCGCCTCCAAAGTATGATAAACGAGATTTTAATAAATTAAATATATAAATAATTATATTTAATTGTCTTATAATTGTTTAATAATTGTTATATTAGAGCCGAGTGTATCAAGTATAAAAAAAGCTATACATTTCTGTACTTTATAAAGGATTAATTTTGACTTAAGAGACTTCTTTTTCACATTGAGTAATATTGGCGAATAAAATTCTTACTTATGTTTTTTAATGATCTCATTCTCGTTTCAGAGACTGGAAGTTCAAACATCCTTTGGGTAATAAGAGGAAAACATATAGCATCCGTACCGCGAAAGTTGGCAAGAACGGATTGTTTTCCAAAGAGGTCATTTATACTTTATTCTTCACAAATCTTCTGTCTCTGCTCATTGGAACCGGTCTAGGGTAAGATAATGCTCAAAATGTAATATTAACATATTTTTTAAATTTTATTTTCATCTCTAAAACATTAAAATCGCTGATTTCGATGATAATGCACATTTCGAATAAATCCAAATCTTTATTCCAAATATTTACTATTATTATTAATCTTATCTTGTATTATATCTTTTTGTATTATAGTATTTCATATTATCAATATTAATCAAATCGTATTGATTTTACAATTGACAATCAATTTTGGTATAACATAGGATTGTATATACTTATAACATAGGATTGTTATATTTGTAATTGTGTTTTATTCTTTTCGACTATTGTATTGACTTATTCGGTAATCATCAATTTTGTTGTAGCGTTTTGCTCACCAGGCGAGGCTTGATGATGTCCCGTGTCGCTATTGAATGAAGGACACGATTCCGGGTGTGTCAGCATCAGGATTGTCACGGTTGAATCTACGCTGAGAGAAAGGCTAGAGACGCAAGAAAGACTGAACAAGCCGGTGGGCGATCGAGCCTAAAAAAACAGTTACACGCAGCACATTATTTGATTGTCCCGATTTATAATATTAGCACTTTGTTTATATATTAGCACTTTTACTCCCCCAAATCCCCTTATTGTACGGTGTACTTCTCAAAAATTGCGTATGCCAGATATAAATAATACGCATTATATGCTTAGGAAAAGGGAAAACTAAGAAAAAGAGCAAAAGAGATAGAAGAAAGGAATCTATCATATATAACATAGAGTTGTTGAAAGGAACAGAAAAAAAATGAACGAAACATGTCCATTTTATACCGTTTCTAATACGTTTTTATCTACAATAGTTTTTAGGCATAGCTTGATTAGTATTTATCAGAAATAATTATTGTTAGAAAGAATGGAGGCGAGAATGAGAGCGAGCGAGCGAGCGAGAGAGAGAGAGAGAGAGAGAGAGAGAGAGAGAGAGAGAGAGAGAGAGAGAGAGAGAGAGAGAGAGAGAGAGAGACAGATGGAGTGTGTGTTTGTTGTACGGAGATATCGGTGAGGAAAGTACAAGATTTACTGATTGAAAAGGATTCTAACAAGGATGAGAACAATCTTGAAGATTCTACAGAATTCGTCTTGTTTATACAAGTTATAGGAATCTTGTTGCATTACGGATGAGCCAGATGATTTAATGTTATGATTCGTTACGGTAACAAGAAGGAAATGTGCGTCATATCCAGTAAATTCGAAACAGAACGTGATTAAATATTACATAAATAATAAGGCGATGTCGATCGATTCTTTTTTTTAATTATCGTGCGGTAATTGTAATGATCGTCATCTTGATGGTGATCTTAATGGTAACGATAGTAGAGTTCCTACGGAGGAAATACCGATGCTGACGCCCATCGTCTCGACGCCGACTACGAGCAGTAGCCGGAGGGAGGGACCACATATGTGAGCAGACTTGTTTGCGAACGATGAGAAATTTTTTGAAGCGGAGCTTTTGTACGATGTCTTAATCTGCAGTTTTGTAATTTCCTTATAATAAATTCACATACGAATTTCACACGCTAACAAAATGTGTTTTGTCGTCACGTCTTCGATTTAAAGTGTTTGGTCCCGTCCGTGACCTATCGAATGTATTTCCGCGTTTTTTGGTATATAAGATCTCGAGAAGATGAACAAACAGTCGAAATCTAACTTTTAAAGAGCTTGCAAGAATTTTTTAAGATTCCTATAAGAGTCTTGTAAGAATAAATCTTAAAATTAAGAAAAGAAAATTTTGCACGTCTTTTCATATTCTCGAAGAATTAAATTTTAAATTAAACTTTATTAATTAAATTTTAAATTAAATTTTTAATTAAATTAAATTTTAAATTAACGAATTAAATTACTATTTATTGAATGATTTGGAGCTGATGAATTTTATTTTTGTAAATAAATATTTAATGCTTCATGACTGTATATTTAATGCTACCGAATGTATCTGTGACCATAAGTTACAGAAACAATATTTTTTATCTTGCGTGTGCTTCGAGAAGGCTCGAGTTCGTGTATAAAACGTTTGCGTATAAATACGTGATACATGCGTAACTTTTTTCCAGCAACAAGAATTTATGAACACTCTCGCGTTTACGATTTTGTACTTTATAAGAAAAAAGCTCGAGTGATCTAGGAATCACTAGTTTGTCAGAAATATGCACAAGCGACATTGCGACATAATCTTTTGAGTTTTGAGTTTAGAAAAAAATATTAATTTAATGTGACAGATTAAAAATATGTCACACACTTGTTAGTGATTTAGATAAGCCATATTCGTTCAGATAAAATTAAATGCACGTTAGAAATTATGCAATTTTTGTTACTCAAAATCAGCAGCACGATCTCCCTCCCCCCTTCCATCCGATTTTGCGTAGATCAACAGATTTTCTTTCTGTATTCTTAGTTAAGACGAGTTATTTAATTTTCAGTGATGATGTTCGATGTATTTTTCATATTATTTTGTAATACTTGTATGTATATCATACGCATAATAATAATAATTGTATTGTGTATGTAATAGTGACGTTGGTGACTTTGTAGCGTCATCGGGCACAATGGTAAAAGTATACTTCCACCGTCAGGCACTCAATTCTTTCGACAGTTTTTTCGACATCCTTTCAGAGTTTACCTTTGCTAAAATTGAAATTTTAATTATGAATAATTTATATACACAAATGTTATGAAATAAAGAGTTTTGTAAATTCATTCCCATGACGTATTTAATTTTTGTAAATATTTCGCATATAATTTCGCGTTCGCGTGAAGCCATTTTATTTTTATTTTTTTGTATGCGATATACTTTGAAATGACAGAAATTGAATTCTAGACAATTTCAGCGCTATAATTAGAGTGCACAGAAGGGATTAACCTTGCCATCTTGTAATCCACGATAATGAAATATCCACAATATTGAGAGAATGTTGAAAATAAGAGAATGCATCAAACGAACTTTTCTATGTCGATTGATGAGTCGATTGATGAGGTGTACAATAGTAATGTGAAAGTTTTCGTGCGAATTCTACCACTTGAAAAACCATGTGATTCTTGCGCAAAAATCAGTACGGATGGTAAGGTGAGATTAATGTAAATCGAGACTATTCCAATAGCTAAGAAAAGATTATGTCCCGCCAGTGTAGGATGTATTCTTACGAAATTACTATCTTCTTATTGCATTATTATTGTCTCATAGTTCATTTCGATACATTTTGTCAATTAACGCATTATAATTAATTAAATTATTATAATGTCATTTAGACAATATACCTGAGATGCTTACAAGATATGCAACGAGACGAACAGTCAAAACATCCTATTTATTGGACCTTTCATATAGATGGGATATTTCATGAGATGTCCCAGGATAAGGTGTATTGCGCTACTGCGAAAGATCTCGTAGAAAAGTATTGATTAATATTTTAATTGCTGTGATGATATTCCATAATGTGTCAACGATATAATTAATTAATTTGATATTGTTTAATCTGGGAAAAGTAAACTAATTTGTATTAATCTAACGTTGCTAAAAATGTATAACAAAGTTATTAAATTAATTTTTGAAAGCACATATATGATTTGACATTGACAGCGTGTATGAGAAATGAAGATAGAGTAATAAGAGTGTGTTATGTTAAATTAATAGCATTTTTAAAATAAAATAGAGGATATAAAAATGTTTTTTGATTGTAATGAAAACATTTAAATTATTGAAGATAATTTTATGTATTTTATTAGAAAATATGCAGCCATATTACTGGATAGTAATTAATAATTAATATTACTTATCGCTGATAAGATATGGAATATCATTCAATGTCTATAAAAGTAACAAAACATGTGTGTATACACAACAAAGGAATAATTTAAGAGCTTTAAACGGTGTAAATTGCGTACTGATCGGCTATGGACAAACAGGATCCGGAAAAAGTTTCACGATTGGCGGTCTCAGAAATAATTGGGAAGTACGTTTTTGTATCTTATGTATAATTTTACTTGGATTATTGTTCAATCAATTATTTTGATCGTTTTACTCATTTAGCATAGAGGAATAGTCCCGCGACTTTTATCCGACATGTTTGTGGAAAAGGCAAACCGAAGAAAAATCAGTGACATACGTTATCGTTTAAGTTTCATCGAGTTGAGAGGTAAAAATGTAGTAGATCTTCTGACGCAAAAACGAAGGATTTTTAACATCAACGAACGCAGTATCTTTAAGGTATCATGATAAAAATTCTAATTTGTTTTTTCACAGAAATGTATTTGTATCTTTGTGTTAAATTTTGGGAGAGCTTCTACATTGCTTACGAAAAATAACCTTGTATCAAGAAAATACTTACTTTTGCGATTTCCCAGAATTCTTATGTTTATTTAAAGTGTCTTAGCTTTTGTTCTGCATACACGTCGAAATCAGCACAATTACGATTTCAGAATGTAATTATAATAGATGTAGAGAATGAAGAAGAGACTTTGAAACATGTACGTGAAGGAGAAGGCAGGAGATCAATTGTGAGAAGCACAACGTATCCGGTATCACATTTAGGTGCTACTGTGATTACTATTCACGTTTCAAATGCGAGCTTGATAAAATCGCAAGCTATCGTAGCGACAGCAAAAGTAATTGCGAATTCGGCATCTTTCAAAACAAATTTTGAAACTTCTTATTCAAATATTTTTGCACAATTTGTAGATTATTAGGAAGAACTTTTTGTATTGTTTTATTAAAATGTTAAAATATCTGAAATGTTATTTAAATATCGGTGTGGATATAACATTTCATTAAATATAGAACCATTAATATCATATGAAATATACAAATTAAATATATCGCGTTTAAATATTTTAAATAATTAAATATTTTAAATAATAAATATTCGTGATACATGTAACTAAATTTTAAAGAAATTATCTTGATTGAGAGATATCTTAAAAGAAAAATTACGAGTTTGTTTTTACGGATCAATATTAGATACATATCGTAGAGATGGCTGGAACTGGTACAGTAGGAAAATCGAGTTGCTGGAAAACAGCAGTCGACTTAGGTATGGCGAATTTAATGAAAATACAACTGGAACAATATTTCCTGTATCTTAGAAAACCAAGTGTGTGCACATATAGCGTTATTCGTTCAAGTAATTTGCTGAAGTTACTAAGAGATGCTTTTACTGTCACATCAATCATTCGGTAATTATATAATGAATACAAATTTGAAACAGAAGTAGCGCAAATTTTCTCATGTTTAATCTAAACTACAATAAATTCATCTTTTTTCCATATCTATTATATCAATATATAAATATCTATATTTATATAAATATAGATAAATATGGACATATATCAAGACAAATTAAACAAAAATTGAATAAAAATACAATTCTATAATTTAATAAAATATAAACGCTATTTTTTAATTCTCTATGTACTTTAATCAAACTTTTATATTTTCTATTAAATTTCTAACTTGGCTTAAAATTCATACATATTTACGTTGACGTTTTATTTGATTAATTAAAATTTTGACATTTCTCTTATTTATCAGCTTCATATCTCACGTGCGCATCACGAGAGAAGATCTCGAA